CTGGCGGGTGACAAAGATTTGTCCTGACTGTGGGCAAGGCGGAAAACTCTAGCTACATGTGTGGTTTAACTTGAAGCCCATTCCATGAGAGGGAGCCCATGCACATCACTGTTTGGATGGCTAGAAATCAAAGACTGGATAGCTCAGAAACCTAGGATAGAGTCAACATGACCAGTCAAAAAAAATCAACATGACCAATTCAAAAAAATCAATGAAATGATTCCTAATGATATTCTCTATACTCATAGATTGGTCCCTTGTCCATCATCAGAGAGGCTTCCTCCAGCAGCATATGGGAGGAGATGCAGAGACCCACAGCCAGACATTAAAGAGAGATTCTAAATTGGAGTTCTCCATAAGGTCCCTCCCCTCAAAGCTTGGGGAATCCTGTGGAAGAGGGGTAGAAGGATTGTAAGAGAGGATGAAGGTATCAGGAGAATGCAGCCCACCGAATCAACTAAACAGAGCACATACAGTCTCAGAGACTGAAGCAGAAAGCAGGGGGCCTGCGTGGGACTGCACCAGGTCCTCTGCAAATAAGCTGTTAGCTTGGAGTTTTTGTGAGACTCTTAACTGTGGGAGTGGTTGTGTCTTTGACTCCTTTACCTGCTCTTGGAACTCTTTTGCTTCAGTTGGTTTGCCCTTCCCAGCTTCGATGTGAGAGCTTTTGCCTTGTTTTACTATATTTTGTTTTGTCCTGTTTGGTTGTTGTCTCTTGGAGGCCTGCTCTTTTCAGAATGGAGGAGGGGGAGTAGATCAGAAGTGGAGGGGGTTGGAGGAATAAAGGAAGGGGAAACTATGTCCCAGTTATACTGCAACATGAGAGAAGAATCTATTTTAAATGAAAAAAAGAAAAAAAGAATGATGAATGCATTTAAAAATTAATCATTTTTTTCTTTCTGCTTGGTTTACATGGTTACATTTATTGATTTTTGTATACTGAAGCCTTTCTGCATCTCTGGATGAAGTCTACTTGATCATGGTGGATGATCTTTTTGATGTGTTCTTGGATTGGTTTGTTAGTATTTTATTGGGAATTTTTACATCTGTGTTCATAAGTAAAATTGGTCTATAATTCTCTTTGCTGGGACTTTATGTAGTTTAGATTAACTGTAGCCTTATAAAATGAATTGAGCAATGTTTCTCCTGTTTCTATTTTGTGGAATAATTTGAGGAGTGTTGGCATTAACTCTTCTCTGAAAGTCTGGTAGAATTCTGCAATAAAACCCTGGGCGTTTTTGATTTGGAGACTTTTAATGATTGCGTCTATTTTACTAAGGGTTTTAGGTTTGTTTAAATTACTGATATGAGCCGGGCGGTGGTGGCGCACGCCTTCAATCCCAGCACTCGGGAGGCAGAGCCAGGCGGATCTTTGTGAGTTCGAGGCCAGCCTGGGCTAGCAAGTGAGTTCCAGGAAAGGCACAAAGCTACACAGAGAAACCCTGTCTCAAAAAACCAAAAAAAAAAAATTACTGATATGGTCTTGATTTAACTTTGGTAAATGTTATGCATGGAGAAAATTGTTAATTTCTTTTATATTTTCCAATTTGGTGGAGTACAGGTTTTTAAAGTATGTCCTTGTGATCCTCTGGATTTCCTCATTGTTTGTTGTTAGGTCCTCTTTTTCATTTCTGATTTTGTTTATTTGGATATTCTGCGTCCATCTTTTAGTTAGTTTGGATAAAGGTTGGTTGATCTTATTGATTTTCTCAAAACACTAACTCTTTGATTCATTGATTCTTTGTATTGTTCTCCTCAGTTTGATTATTTCTATCTATTCCTTTTTGTGTGATTTCTTTTTATTCTAGAGCTTCCAGATGTGCTCTTACTAGTATGAGATCTCTCCAATTTTTTGTTTTGCTTTGTTTTTGTTGTTATTATTATTGTTTTATGTAGGCACTTAGTACTATGAACTTGACTTAGAACCACTTTCATTGTGTCTCAGAAGTTTGGGTATGTTGCATATATTTCCATTGAATTCTAGAAAGTCTTTAATTTCCTTTATTTCTTTCTTGACCCATTTTTCATTCAATAGTGAGTTGTTCTGTTGCCATGAGTTTGTAAGCTTTCTGTTGTTTCTATGGTTGTTGTTGATATCCAGCTTTAATCTATGGTGGTCAGATAGGATGGAGGGTGTTATTTCAATTTTCTTGTATCTATTAAGACATAGTTTGTGTTCGAGTATATGGTCATTTTTGGAGAAAGTTCCATGAGGCGCTGAGAAGAAGGTATTTTCTTTTGTGTTTGAGTGAAATGTTTTGTAAATATCTGTTAGGTCAATTTGCTTTACAATGTCTGTTATCCCCAGTATTTCCATGATTAGTTTTTATCTGGACTACCTGTCTATTGTTGAGACAGTGTGTGAGGGTCAATATGTGATTTAAGCTGTAGTAGTGTTTCTTTTACAAACTCAGGTGCCCCTGTGTTTCAGGCATAGATGTTAAGAATTCCAAAATCCTCTTGGTGGATTTTTCCTCTGATGAGTATGTAGTGTCTTGCCCTGTTTCTTCTGATTAGAATACATTACATACATTGTTGAAACAATGAAAAGAAATTTGTGTGGCAAGTAGTGTCAAGAATAGAAGACAATTTGGGGGAATGGTCCTGGAGCATGAAGCCTCCAAGAGGAGACATTTTATGTGTATATATGCCTGATGTCTAAATTTCATATAATAATGATGTATTTTATAACTTAAAATGATGAAATAAATGAGGTTATAGATGAACTGTGCAAGAGAATGTCCTCAACACATCAACTGAAAAAATGTTAATAGCTGTAATGAGAAGTTTTTCTCTTCATGGTTTTCTCCGCCTTCCTTATTTTATATAAGAAATTTATACAAATTTTGAAATCAGAAAAATAACAATAAAGCAGCAGAATCAACTCAAAC